CCGACGAGGAGAGAGAAAGCGGCACGGTGAGATTGGGGGATGGCGGTGGAGGAAGGCGGAGGGAGAGGAGAGAGAGGGCGAGGGTGCGGAGAGTGGAGAAGACAGCTGGTGGTGGGATGGGGGGCGGAGGGGATGGGCTGAGGAGTTTCGGAGACGGCCAGGGCGGCAGCAGTTCCGTCTCCGGCGAGGGCACCAGTGGTTCCATCGGCGGCAGTGTTGAGAAGCGGTTCCCGGGGAGGGAAGCCTTGTTGAGAAAGGTTCTTACCCGCGGCCGGGGATTCAACTAGCAAAACCCACCAATTGTTGTGTTGTAAACGAACGAACCGAGCTTAGGTTATTCGAGCTCGTGTTTGTTTACGTTCGAACAGTGTTCGTGTTCGTGCATTTATTTTTCGAGCAAAAAATCGTGTTTGAGCTCGTTCGTTTAATTGTTCGTCACAGTTCGAGCTTGTCCGTGTTCGAATAATTTAATACATAAACTTTTTAAATATGTTTGATTAAGTCGAAATTAGTTCGAACTCGAAAATAAAAGAATAAAATCAAAATATTTTTAAAGTTTAGATTTTTTTTTAAAATATTATGTAAATATATAAAAAATAAATAAAATTATATTTAATTTTAGATTTTTATTAAAAATGTTATGTAAATATATAAAATAAATAAATAATATTAAATTATTGTTCGCGAGCATAATCGAATGTTCATGAACGAGCTTTTGTTCGCGAACATTCAGTTCGTCTACAGCTTGATCCGATTGTTACTTTTCAGACTGCTATTAGACATATCATACAGACGAGCCTTATTCATTAGGAAATTGTATTTGTTGAATAAATATATGCAGTAATATTCCCTACCCACGGTGGACACATGTTAATATGTCAACTGCTTATGTGGCACACTCACATTAGTGATTTTGTTTTTTGAACATATTAACATCACCAATGTGTGCATGCCACATAAGCGGTAAGCATATTAACATGTGTCCACCGTGGGTAGAGGAGTATTATCCTAAATATATGTATGTTTAAATTGAAATGTCATATATGTTTGTAATAAATCATATCTTTACCAATTATCGAGATGGCGGCCATCTTGTGGACGAAAGCAGTTCAAAATTTAGAATTAAGTGTCGATCACACATGAAAATAAAATAATATTTTAAAATTATAATTACGTATAAAATAAAATAAAGTCCCAAATATTCTAATTACAAATGATCAGAATTTAATATCATCGATGACACTTAAAAAGGAAATAAAGTCATTAATATTTTAATTTAATAACGTATAAAAGGAAAATAAAGTTATAAATATTGATGGTTAGAATCTATAATCTAATAATGTATGAAAAGAAAATAAAGTTTTAAACATGCATACTTTTAAGGCAAAATTGAGATTGCAATTTAATCACGGCTTTTTTACTTTTGCAAATCATATCACAAATTTCAGTTTGTTACAAATCCGTGCACCGATTTGTATATCTCGTGCACACTATATCGCAATTTTCAGTTTGTTGTTCGAGCACATCTGTTTTTCTATGATTGTTTGCAACAAACTTAATATTTGTAATATAATTTACAAAAGTGAAAAGGTCATGATTTAATTGCAATGATAAAAGTTGTAATATTAGGGCAAATTTGCCTACTTTTAAATATCATTTATTTAAAGATCACGTGCATAATTATTTTTGGAACACATAACAAATATTTTTACTAGTACAGTTGCCCGTGCAAATGCATGAGAGCTATGAAATAAAAAATTAAAAGAATATTTGCAATTCATACAAATGCATAACGATGAAATATATTGAACACTCTATTATATACAACGTTCTTCGTCTTTGAGGTATTTTTATTATCACATATTTTAATATTTTCAATCATTTACATTTGTAATTCGTGAACATGCAACCTAAAGTTGGTTATGCGTAAATACAGAGTTCTTTAGGTATAACATTCATATAAATTATTCCTCAATAACTAAAATATATATTTCATTTTTTATACGAATAAGATATAATTACCGATTTATGCAATAGATATATAGTTCTTCAGGTATAATATTCATATAAATTAATACTTAATAACTTAAATATAAATAGTAAGTCCATACAAAAGGAGTCTTTAGCCAAATCGGTAAAACTTTAGAAGTTCGTGAAATTTTCATCTTGAAGTTCACCATAAAATTTATCTTGAATCTTGCTATAGTAGTTTTATATCTGCCGCTTGGTGCTACAATTATAAAGTTTGGATACCAATGACTTCAAAACGATTGAACAACACTACGTGAATTTTTTGATTGAGGCATGGATTCTATATCCATGTAAAACCTTACAAACACAAATATTAGGAAATAAAATTAAATAAAATATGTATAATGACTATTTATAAACAAAAGTGTCTTAAAAGAATCACCCCACGGTCTTGGAATATTAATTATTTTGATCTTTTTAATCTTGAAAACAGTCATTTCGTAACATCGCATCACACGGACTTTGATATTACATCCTGTTTTTTTTATACATTTTTTAAACTACAACATGTATATCAAAAAATGCCGACGTGAAAGATTAAGCCCTTCACGATGTAACTTCTAAACGTGTGTATTTTTAACTTCCAACGACTTTAACTTCTCGTTTATGGTGTTAAACGTGTGGATTTTTAACTTCCAAACACTTTTACTTCTCGTTTATGGTTTTACTGTATATCTTACTAAATAAAAAATGAATTCAAGTCATTCACAATGTAACTTTCAAACATGTGTATTTTTAACTTCCTAACGACTTTCACTTCACTTTTATGGTTTTACTGTATTTTTAACTTTTTAGACCGCCGTGAAAGATTCAAGCCACTCACTGTAACTTCAAACGTGTGTATTTTTAACTTCCACGACTTTAACTTCACATTTATGGTTTTACTGTATTTTTAACTTCCATATATTAGACGTGTTACTGCGTGGTGTTAATGTTTTTTTTATTAAAAAAAATCGCATATTATTTTGGACTTTGTTTAATGTTGTTAAAAAATGTTTAATTGATTTAGGTATTAAAAAATAATTGTTAAATATGTTTGATTGATTTAGGTATTAAAAAATAAAATATTATATGAACATACATAAGTTTATAAGTATAAATTGATAAACTAAATAAATAGTTTAGTACTTTTAATTCTTTGTATTAAAAAATGAGTCACAACACGTATCAAATCATTAAATAATAGATATTGTGTAGTTATTCATATAATAAATAAAATATTATTTGAGGTAGTTAATATTAATATAAATAAGAACACGTGTCAAAAGAATATGAGACTTTTCAAAATTGGTAAGAGTAGAGTAAGACCCACATAAAATTTTCTAAAAATAACAAGTGAATTGTCTAATTATATAATAGATAGATTATTTTCAGAAAAATAGAAAAAGGACTTGACGTATGCCGTCCTCAAGCCCAAAATGTGTGGCCTCACTCAAACAATCCCCCACGCCAGCTAGAATAAAACTTCCCTCTTGCAGCTTCTTCTTCGTCCGTCCATGGCGGATTACTAATTAAATGCTCTTTTCTTCCTTTTCTGTGTATCAAGTTTCAGCTAAGGAAGATTAAAGTCTACTCGCCTCTAAATCTGTATTTTCTTATTCCCTAATATCTATCAATCATAAATCATTATGTTTTCTTTTATGATTCTGCTTATGTGTGTTTGTGTGATTACGTAGTACATATACTGACTAGGGTGTAATTTTGTTATTTTCTATGCGTTAGAATATCACTTGTGAATTGTCCCATAGTTCATACATGGAAATAGACTCACCTTATAAGTCTAATGGGCTACTCTTCCTTCCACCAATTGGTTTTGGGATTTCTATTTGGGCTTCATATGGGCTTTTTCCCGTTTTTGGTGTTCTTCATGTTAGTGGGACCGAACCCGTTTTTCCTTCAGTTTCTTACACTATGATCAAACAGCGGCGATATAGTTGTTTTTATCAGTAATCCTGCTGCTGGAATCTCAATCAGGATTGAATGTTTTTAATTTTTTATCTGTTGATTCTTGAAGTTTCTCAACATAATATTCACCAATATTGGAATCCACAGTTTGTGGTAATCAGCATAGAATTGATAACCCGAGCTTCGTGAGCTTGGCTTGGCTCGTTTAGTTTTTGGCTTGAAAATACGATTTGTTATGTAATTTTCTGTTGCTCGGCTTGTTAAGGCTCGAGCTCAACTCATTAGTATTGATAAAGGAGCCGGGGTGAGTTCGTTTATCCGCTTGTTTAGTTAATGAGCATGGCTCAGTAAAGGCTTGAGCTCAATCGCGCATCAGGAGCTCGAGCTCAGCTCAGCTTGTTTACAGTTATGAGCATGGTGAGAGTTGGTGCCATTAACGGTGAATAGTTTTCCTAATTACCTAGAACTTTTCAGCTTTCATATTCTCCTGAAAAATAAGATTATTTTGAATTTTGGATTCTACTACCATTGTGGTCTGAAATGCTTTCTGAGTTCAATGATTGCAACGATAGCTTCCTATATATATATTGTTGTTGTGTGTCTTCTAATATATTCAATTGTCATTGTGTTATAGTTTTGCTGTAGTGCATGGCAGAAGAGAGCAGCAAACTCTTGATGCTTGCAGTTGATTGCCCTTTCGCAAAGCTCCCGGATCATCTTCTGGTAGAAATCTTTGTTCGTGTTCCAGTTTCCGAGTGGGCCCAATTGCCGTCTGTGAATAAGTACTGGGCTAATTTGTTCCGGGAGGACTACTTGTGGCACGTGGCTCTCGTCAGATGTTTTCCTTTGTCCGGCCAAAGTAAAAAGTGGCCAGGCCCTATTCCTCGTGGGCTGAGCAAAAGGTAGCTCATCAGTTTCTAAGATGGAGCAGTTTTTACGTAGGCATAGTTATTAGGCGTAGCTTATATATCTCTTTACTGTACTTGCTTAGTACCTTATGAGTTATTAGTACTGTATGAATATTGTATATTTCCCAATTTGCTAGAAAAAGAAAAAATTTAAAATAAACTGCAGATATTCTAATTTGTGTGCTTGCGATTCAGGAGATTCATTGCTCTGTATATGAGTAAATGGATCTGCCCTGTAGATGACGAGCTGAGTGAAATTGTCGGTCATACGTACTTGTATTTGAAAGAGCAGCTGCAGATTTCAAATATGCCTCCTCCTTCGGCGATTCTTCACGGGACTATTATAGGTGCTGTCTCAAAACCATTTATGACATCTCATTTCCCGTTGAATTTAAACTGCTGACATATTGTTAAGCTATGTCTCGAAAGATTACCGTAACTTGAAAATTTTAGACGAGATCCTTTCATATTTTTTTTGCTAAGCAGATGAGTCTTAACGAAGTGTAGGGAAAAAAGAAAATATACTCATTGCAGTATATATTTCCATCATATACCTTCATGATTGGGTCATCCAAGCCTAGCTAACTTGTTTTGTGTCTTCATCATGTTACAGCCTTAGTTTGAGTAGATGTCCTGTGATATCTGTGAAACTTTGTAGACTTGAAGATCTTTAAATTCCCACTGTAATGTTAACATGGAAATGGAGACGATTATATGGCTTGAAAATAAAGAAAACTATGTTAACAAAGCATATGCAGATGATCATAAATATAGTTACTTAAGTCAAATGTTGTCTTAGAAGTCCTGCTAATGACTCATTAATCACTTAAATATTTCATTCAAGCAGATCAGTTTATTGCTTGTGGCGAGTCAAGGGATACTGCGCACGAGCTGGCTTCGGTCATTTGGTTGGCTGTTATCGACAATCTGGAGGACAATCATCAGACTTTTTTCTTACTTAAACGCCTTGCACTGGAGGGAGAAGTAAGCAATTTATTTATTTATTTATCATTGTCATTGTTCGACATCTCTATGCATGTTCAATTTGTGACAAGTCAAAATAAGTTCTCATTCGTAATTAACTCGTAGTTGTTCACCAACATGAACTTTTGAGATCTTATAATAGTGTTACCTAATGCCTTGCTGTATGTAATATTTATAAGTCGTTTGAATCTTGCGAATGTGGTATTCTTTTTGCAGGTGTTTTTGCCTTATCCATACTCGAGATCGTACAAAGTCGAGTGGAAGATATTCGAAAGGCTGTTCACAGATTTTCGTGATTGCCTGCATCATTCGGATTACTACGATTTACTGGCAACCGCAAAACAGAAGTTTCAGCCGATACCAGCAACTTGGTTAGGCTACTAGGACTGCAATCACTCCCAAATAGATCTTTTACCAAAAATAAATTTAAAAAAAAAAAAATAGAAAAAACGTATTGCATTCTGAATAGTTATCGTGTAGATAAATGCAACATGGCAATCGAATGAACGACCGGTGGTTGTGGTGTACAATAGTTGTGATCTGGATTCGAACTGTGCCGGCGCATGCTTGTCTTGACCGTGACTGTGAGTGTATATGTGATTGTGTATGCAGACCATATTTAGCTCTTGTGCAACAATTGTCTGAAGAAATCCTATAGTTTACAACTCTTCTTTATATAGTAATTCGACCTATTGCTCCGCATCCCCCCAGCACGACGCTTGTGTTGCTCTCCCACAACCCCGTTTTCACGGTTTAGGCTGCTCCCATTTCGCTCGCCGCTACTACGGGAATCGCTTTTGCTTTCTTTTCCTCCACGCCAATACAAATTCAAGCAACGGATGTGACTCGAGGAACGAAAGCTGAAAACGGTTAAATATCTATAGGAGCGTACTGGGGATAAGGAAAGACTCCCCTCCAGCGTTAGAAGTAGGTCGGCAGAGGCCTCTCTTTCTTAACCCTCCAATAATAACTCAGTTGGCTTAGAATTCCTACTGATCTGGATGGAAGATTTTCTTGGTGAAAGCACTCTTACATTTGCTAATTTATAACCTATGATTTGAAGAACTTGGTCTTTTATTTATGGGTTTCTATTTTAATTATAAATTTCTAGCTAATCACATGGGCTGATTCTTACTTTTGTAAGGGTTGCTTCTCAAAACATAAGAAAAATAATTAGGCTTTGGGGTTGAATGAGTAATTAAGTGAGCACCGTAAGATGAAAGGAGATAAAGTTGGTCATCATTTGTGATTTCTATGTGGAAAAGGCTGAGGCTAACGTACGAAACCATAGGGAGGAGAGTGAGGGCATGGTTTTGGCCACCCAATCAAGATATTGAAAATCTATTTTTTTTTTTTTTTATTATTATTTATGAAAGCACATGTTAACCTTTACTTAAATAAATAAAGTGCCTTTGAACTACGGGAGATGCTGCAGTTCCGTTACGGAATTATTTCGTCGGGGTTTGTAACTGTTAGATCATCATGTAACCCGTCGAGGATAATTGATATAACGGTTACAAACTTTGAAGAAATGGTTCCGTAACGAGATCGTAGCATTTTTCCTGAACTAGAATGAGAGAAGATAAAACAATAGTCATACTGTACTCGTTAAGTACCAATGGAAATAATGTAAAGAGGTAAGCAAGGCCTAATTACAATGGCTACGTAAAAACTAGTCCATCTTAGGAACTGATGAGCTACCTTTTGCTCAGTCCACCTTTTACTTTGGCCAGACAAAGGACAAATTAGTTTTCACAGAACAAATTAGTCCAGTACCGTATTCATACACGACAGTTGCGCCCACTCGGAAACCGGAACACGAACAAAGATTTCTACCAGAAGATGATCCAGGAGCTTTGCGAAAGGGCAATCAACTGCAAGCATCAAGAGTTTGTTGCTCTCTTCTGCCATGCACTAAAGCAAAACTATAACACAATGACAATTGAGTATATTAGAAGACAAACAACAAAAATATATAGGAAAATATCGTTGCAATCACTGAACTCAGAAAGCATTTCAGACCACAACCAAGCTCAGTTTACCTTGCAATCGTCAATCAGGCAGAAAAAAACCGAGCACAGGCTTACCTTGCATTGAAGTTCAGGCTTCTGAGCTTGTAGCTTTTTGTAGATTCATCTACCGGCCAACAGTGACATACCAAGTCAAAATGAATACAACAAAACTTAAGCCAACAAGTTCATCTGTTGCTTCGATGTTTTAGAGCTTTTGACAGTCACAACTCACAAGCCAATTAACAGCAATTTACGATATTTAATAAAAAGATAACTTCGCCACCACACACTAGAAGTCTAGAACTGAATCATATGAAATCTCCACCAGTCCTTATTCGACATAATGCGAAAACAAAATTATTCCTTAATTTCAACACAACTTGCTCAAGGTTCGGATCAATGCATAAAGAAGGTAGGTACCTTTCATCACCAACCATATAAACAAATAATTCAAATTCTGACTGCCTGAATTCCGCAAAATGACTCCGGAAACAATAATACCATGCCAATTGAGATTCTTTAGTACAATATATCAATTATCATTCCTAAAAGTGCTAGCAAACAGATAATTTGCACAGCAACAACAGACCAAATCATAAATCATCAAGACGCAAACAATCAAGACTACCGGGCCTGAAAAAGTGCCAACTCGAGCCATGAAAGGCTCGGAAAACATAGTCAGAAAGGTTGCCAACTCCAATCTCGTCTGTGAAACTCTTTGCTGCCAACACATGCTGCCTTGACACCAAAGCACAGCCCGAAATTGACACCTGCTGCTCGTACTCACTGAAACTGTTTCCAAACAGCACCATCCGGCTCAACGGGTCCAATCCCCAATTAGCTTGCAAGAGATTATCATACAACTCCACCTCGCAATGGGGCATGAAGAATAGGGTTGGCCGGACCACTGGCCGCCGGCCTTGCTCGTTGACCGACAGAACCTCGCAGCCAAGGGAAGTCAAAACCCTAGACTCGGTCAATGAGATTATCGGGTCAAACACCTGGATGCCCCCGATCCAGTCAAAGCTCCTCTTCATCAGGACGGCGAGCGCGAGCTGCAGCCTCGGCGGCTCGAATGAATCGATGCTGCCAATGCCGTAGATCACCATCTCCATCTGCCGCTCCGAGCCGAGGACCCGGAGGAACTTGATCAGCGTCTCGGGGCTCCGCATCTGGTTCAGGAAAGAGTTGTAGAAATTGGAGCCGACGAGCTTCTGGATGCAGATTTGCATTTTCTGCATCAGTCTCGATTCCCTCTCGGGATCTGTCTCGATATCCGCCGGCGTCCATGGCTGCGCTTGTTTTTCGCGTTTAGGAATCACGCGATTGTGCGAGAATGTGGTGGTGGTGTTCTTCTTCTTCTTCTTCCCACGGCGTGGTAGTACGACGGTCCAGTCCTCCGCCGGGTTAGATTTTACCGGGATGTGAATTTCTGAAGCGGCGGCCATTGAATCAAGAACTAGGTTTTTTTCACTAATCGGTAGGATGAAGCAATTTTGATAATTTGGCTCGATTGTGTATGTGGGTGGGCGTATACTTCCCTCCAAATGCTCAGTTTCTTTTTCTTTTTATTTTTTCCTTCTTTTACAGGTAAATTTTGGGAGATTATTTACAATCATTTATAATGTTTTTATTAACAAAGTCATGGCAATCAACCGGGCAGGTTCACGACCCGGACCCGGACGCGTTCTGACCCAGACCGCCCGACGGGTCTTCGGGCCTCAAAAATTGTACCAATAACCGGTCCTGCTATATTTAAGGGCCGATTCAAATGAACCGGCCTACAACCCACCTTTTGATCCAGAACCAGCGAAAGAAAAAAAAAGGAAAAACTAAAACTCGGAATTGACCCGATTGTGTCACGGGTTTGGTTCCAAGATGTACGTCCCAGCCGGTTCGACGGGCCGGGACGACCCTTGCCACATCTAGATTTTATTATTATTAATATTTTTTTAAAATTTCCACTTATATATTTTAATTTTTTTGGGTGAAATAATATTTTTTGAAAAATAAAAATATATAATAATCCCGACAATGGTGGTGTTTTTCGCGGGTTTGTATAGTCACATTTTGTGCTCTGACACTGCTCTGTGCCTAAAGATTGGATCCTTTCTTTCCCCGATGCCATGTTTCCTGTTTCTTACTTTCTTTGTTTTTTTTCCCTTTTTTTTTTAAAAAAATTACTTAATTTTTAAAAAAATATTATTTCAAATTTCAATCAGTCAGTAGAGTAATAATGGCACACACAGCTGAGTGGTACTCATCACCTCTGCAGCTCCCAATGGCCGAACATCATGTGATGATGTGAGCGCATTTCCCCTTCATTTGTTGCATACAACAATTACTCATTTTTGTTGTGGTCGAATAATAATCTTCACTCGCCGTTCATTACATCATCGGAGCTTTGGTTATGGGAATTTGATGGAAATTGATTCGTTCGGCCCAGCGTCGGGCAAAATCAGGCATTTATTGCGTTTCCTCGATTCCCAATAACCTTCGTCCCTTGTTGTGACTTGTGGTTGTCCTAAATCAAAGCCCAA